TGCAAACACAAGGAAGACCGGAATGGCAATGCCTGACATATTAGCCGTCGTCAACCAGGCATACCCAGACTCGTGTGGTGCACCACCCGAGCCTCAGAACTCGCGAACTTTTGATCAGAGTCTAACGCCTTAATCACTAAGCCATGAGCTCGCTGTGTTGCCGGCTTGCCTTTGGGAGAGATTGACACCCATTGATGACCACTCACCGACCACTCTGCCCTGCCTTAGGCTGGGGTACAATTTTTGTTAGATATCACAACACGTTTATACACAAATTGGGAGTTTGAAGGTACACACCTACCCTTCCCTACAAATAGAATTGAAATGAACGGAGTCTAAAGCTCTTCCGGTGACCAATAAGCTTCCGCTGATTATAGAATCCACAAGGTTGAAGTTGGCTTCACGCATTCAGTTGTTTTCAAAAGGCAGTCGTATGGTCAAAGTACTAATTATCACGCCCAGGCACACGAGCCACCTACAGATACCAGTAGCAACGAAAATAGATTCTTAAATACTGTAATATATATTTGATTGCTCCCCAAACCTCCACCCATGTTCGACGTAATCCCTGCCCCAAACCCTTGAGTGCGACAATTCCAGCTCCCATTTAGTCTGCCGACAGGCAGGCGTAACCTGTTTGAAAATTCTGGAGTACAAGTCTACGTTCCAAGGACCTTCTTTCTCTTCATATTTTATTTAATAGAGAAAATACGTGCGAAAAATATTAAGCTGTTTGTCTGAAATAAAGGCCACAATACAGTCTGAAAGTATGAAATCAGTTGTGACAAAATACACATCATGCCCTTCTCTAAAGCACGCACAATCACTGTGGTCAGTGCAGGTATTCAGTTCCGTCATTATGCAGAGACTTTGCTGGGAACCGGACTAATGCATTCAGTTGGAAAAAAGTTGCTCCTGTTTAAGCGCCTTAAAGGTAGGTCGCTCCTTCGGCTCGGCAGCCCAGCAACGCAGCATCACGCCGTACAGAGCCCCGCTTTGGCTCCACTCTGGTTTGCATGGGTTCGGCAGTCGGTTACCATTCTTCAGATACGCCAGTATTTCATCTTCAGGTATCTCTGTAAGGAGGAAGGAAGCAGCACTCGGAGTCATTGTATAAAATACATGCCTCAAGCACAACGACAAAACAGGACGAAGGCGCTGAAAACCCGCTTACCGGCATAGGGCAGGCCGCCATAGGTGAGGACTTCGTACATTAGGACGCCAAACGACCAAACGTCGGCGGAGGAGTCGGCGAAGTAATTGCAGCCGGTAGCTTCAGGTGCCGTCCAGCGAATGGGAAATAGGCCAGCTGTGTACAAGATAATTAATACGATTATGTTACCCAAGCCAACTGTAAGTTCCAACATAGCAGCGAGGCACACCACAGTAGTTCAGTCAGCATATGCCACCCCCTAATTCTGAAAGACTTGAATAACTAAGTAAACTTCTCCTGTTTGGATTTCAAAGTAAAAGTATTTTTAAAGCAAACGGTGTCTTTTCTTCAAGTGTACAGTAGCAAGAAAAGGGTACTTCCTATCAAACGAGTGGAAGTGACAGCCCTACAGCTCTTCAGGCAATGCTTAGGTAACTATGTGTCTTCGCAGTGCTCCCTTTGGCAATAGGTAGCCGAACTCATATCAGGCCAAGAAAGGGCAGGGTATTGTTGTTATTTACTTAAATCTACTTAGTTTCTTAAATTTCCCTACTTATTTACTTGAATTTTGTTAAATAGTATGTTAATAATGAAGACTATTGAGTATATGCACATATCCATATGACGCATTGCCATGTCAACAAAATGGTCTTCAAGAACATTCCTTATTAATTTTACTAAATAAAATGAAACTAAAATAAAACAAATACGGTAGAGAATAGATATGTGATTATTTTCTATCCAATAAATTTCAACATCTAAGGACACGGACATCAATAGAAAGTAGTCATCGGCCAGTCATATCCAAATCCAGTAGGTGCCCCATTCGAGGCTAGATCCCGCGACCTTTTTATTAAAGTCCAACGCTCTAATGACTACACCACAGGATAGTTGTCTTGCTGATTGCGATCCTGAATAGTAAAAAAAGGCTGGTAGGTACTCGACGATAGGTTATCGAACTTATTCATTCCGTGGTGCACTGAGGGTCTCTCTCTCTCATACCCCACCAGCAGTCGCCTTTTATCTTTGGCGGTGATGATTTTCTGTCTGTATTATGCTAGT